GCCGAGAAGAGACAGATAGATAAAGTGTGTGTGGTAAAGGAGGAAGGGGCCACCACCATGGGTTGAGTTTGCCGAGGTTCATTCGCTTATGGAGGTCTCTGATGAGAAGTTTCTATGTCTCATGAAGTCTTACAAGCCAAAATGTCCGTCCGAATTCTTTTGGGGTTGGAAGTGTTTATGGTGGTTTTGATGATGGTGGTGCCGACCTGTGGGATTAGTTTACCTTTGTTTGTTTATGTCAAACGTTGGGGAAAAAAATAATAAGGAGGCAACAAGAGAAGAAAGGTAAAAAAAAAAAGAGAAAAAGATAGACAGAGAGAAACAAAAAACTAAAATTCATAACATTTTCGCAACGTCAAGCTTGGGAACCGTAAATCAAGAGAACCAAGCACACGTGTACGTAAGTGAGTGGAAAACAACAACGACACAGGCAGGAGGATTCGGGAAGATAATCTAGGTACCTACCAGCCAGCCAGCCAGTTCTTGAACAAGAGGATGACAGATAGACAGGCCCTCCAAAAGATTACCAGTGAAAGTAGCATGAAAATTTGTATCGTTCCTCAGAGGAAACTATGAAATCTAATGCAACATAGAATGGGAAGATAGCCATCTCATTTCATGCAGGTATTCCCACCCAGTATGAGGATATTGATTGCCTTGATGGAGGAACTAGGAGACTGACGGAATGTGAACCTGAGCGAGCAGCTAGCTACCTACCTAGCTGTATGAGAACGGACCAAAACGTACTAGTATATACCGATTGAGGAAAGGGTATTTGGTGTAAAGCAGCAAAGCAAAGATAGGGGAACGAAGGAAACAGAAAAGAAAGAAACCGAAAAGAGAGAAAGGAGGGCTTCAAGGAGAGGGGGGAACAGAACTGGATCGTCAAGACATACCATAGTAACCAGAAGATGATCATTCTAGGAAGGATAAAGTCAAAGAGTGAAAAAAAACTCGAAAAGGGACGGAATCAGTCAGGACATGGATGGATGGATGGATGCATTGTACACCCATCCATCCATCTATCTATCTATCTATCCAAAGTGACCTAATATACATATATACGCGCCGAGTCAACATAACCAACTCGGCCCCGGCCCCGTCTCGAGGGAGGACATAAACACTAGATCTGGTTCGAAAGTCAGCCATCATCAGCTACATGTAGCTTCCCTCTAAACGGTCTCCATGGCCATTGTTTCCTCCCCTTTCTGGTGGGAAAGTAATTTAAGACTTCCCTTGCCTTCCTGTTCAGAGGCACATCACATACCTACCTGAAAAAAAGGAATACATAACGTCTCATCTCTATACCTGTATGGGTAAAATTTCTTTTTCTCAGTTCACAAGCAGCAGTAGACAGACAGACAGATAGTTGTGACTTCTTTCTACATACTCGTTCGTTATTTGCATTCATTCATTAGGGCAAAAAAAAAACTCCGTCTCTCGTTTTATTGGAAGGTAGGTAGGTAGGTATGGAGCTGGCTGGTCGCTCGCTGGCTGTGGAAAAGTGATAGATACCTCTACACTGGGAAAGGCTCGGTCGGGAAAGAAGAAGAAGAAGAAGAAGAAGAAGAAAGAAAGAAAGAAAGAAAGAAAGAAAGAAAGAAAGAAAGAAAGAAAGAAAAGAAAGAAAGAAAGAAAGAAAGAAAAAGGAAATCAAAATAGAATGAATTTCTTGTCGTGATGAATTCAGGCCAATGACTGACTCACAGAAGTAATATAAAAAATATACAAACATATATATATTGTGTAGGTACAGTAGATAGGTAGGTTGGTACAGAGGTAATGAACATATCTAGGTACCTACCTAGTTCCGGCGCCGGCGCCGGCGTCCCGGGGGAAGGCCCGGAAGGGGCATAGGTACCGCCCGTACCGTACTGGTTCAATTGCAAACCGAACTTGCGCAATGCCGGTCGGTCGAAGTCGGTCCCTCGGGAGCATGTTTGTTTCAGGCGTGCGGTCAGGCGGCCAGACAGGTGGTTGTGAGGCTAGGAAGGGAAAAGAAGAAGAAGAAACAATTGAAGAGAGGTGCAAGATACATGTATACATACGGACAAGGGTGGGATGATGAGATGGAATTAAAGGATAATATAGGACAACTGGTGCCGGTCTGGCTCCATCTTCGGGACTCCCGAAAGGATCAGTATCAGTACCAGCGTCAGCATCGCAAGCATGATCACCTAAGAAAAGGAGGGTAACCCATAAAGAGCTTTCCTCGGTGGAAATCGAGATACAACTGGCATTGGTCTCATCGAAACTGACAAAAGACGACACGCAATGTCATCAATTACAAGGTGAAGCATAATAAATGCTAGCAAGTTACGTATACACCAAGATGACGACAGCAAGACAACCCGCTCAATGTGCGCTCGATAATGACTGTTAGTTAGTACAAAATATGTGATATGCAACAACAAAGCCTCCAAATACCCATCCATTCCCTTTTCGTTTCCGTTTTTCCCTCCTCCTTTTGCGAATCCCTCGTCATATGCTTTTCATATATCCCCCTCGTGCTTTTGTATCATGGGCCACCATCAAACGAACCACGACGTCCGCGTCTACCTCGCTTGCTTTGGTGAACCTCTCGGTTCTGTCAAGCGAGAACTGTATCCCCTTCCCTCTTCGCTCACTGCCATCGTCAATATCCCCTCGACCCCTCATCTCCCGTCTCGATTCATCCGCTTGCGCGTCTATATGCATGAAGCAGTATTCATTACCATCTCCATCCCACAGCACAACTGTCAAAGATGCAAGTGACAAAACGACGATGCATATGATAGGCCAACATATGTTTGTTTTCTCTACCAACCCAACCAACTCGGCCACCAGTCTATCGGCCGGCAGCAAGCGAATGATCAAGACGTTGGGCAAAGGCTGCAGATACCAAACCAAAAGACATGAGGGGATAAAGATGGATGGAAACTGCGGGAGCTGCGGGAACGGTCGCAAGATGTGACCTAGATGAGTGACGTTGATCCACAGGATTGGCTGGTGTGGCCGTGGCGGGTGTGATGATTGGATTAGGCCGCAGATTTGGCCGCATGAGGAAATGGAGGCCTGAACCTCCCCTCCGCTTCTTCGCACCACTTGTCGTCGAGACAAGGTGGGTAGCGGGACATGAATGTTGGGTTATTGACATGTCAAGCCGGCATGCACCGGGCCAACAAACGCCAGAAATACCGACAGATCCCCGTAATATCCGGACTGTTCGACATAGAGTATCACACCTATGCGAAAACCCTACAGGCTATTCGCGGCCCAGTTCACTCACCCCTCCCGAACCTCACATCGAAACCCTTAAGTACCGCCATGATACTTGCAGCCTCTACTTCGATCGGCGCCCACGCTTTGCCCGTCGACGATTGCTGCAGGCTTACACTGCCTCGATTAGGCGGTGGGTTAGCAGGCACCGCTCTCAGCTTGGGCAGCCACGAGCCAATGTCATCAGCTGCTTCCTCGAAATGCCGATGAGAGGCAATGGTCTTGTAAGCCTCGGCGCAGGAGAGGGAGAGTGCGAAGTTACTGGCAGCGACATTGTTGGAGGAAGAAGATGAGGAAGAGAATGGGTTGGATGGTGTGGGAGCAGGTAGTTGATTGGCGGTCTTGTAGCGGTTGAGGTTGATGGGGACGACATCATCGTTGTCGTCGGGCTTCTCAGTCTTGCAGCATCCGCCGCCGGGACCGCCGCCGCCGCAGCACCCGGACGGGGGAGCAGCGCTACTGCTGCTGCCAGTCTGTTGCCTATTGCGCTCAAAGTTGGCGGCAAGGGAGCGGCAGAAGAGGCCGGACTTGGGATCAGCTAGACACTGGGCGCAAGTACCGGGGCCACCGGGACCACAGCCACCGGTCTTGACAGGGAGCTTGGATTGCGCATCTTTGTTGGTGTTGTTGGCGCGGTTAAGAGAACCGAAGCTAGGTAGCTTGACAGCACCCGTAGCCGTGACTTCCATAGGCATGGGGACGACATCGTTCTCGGATGGCGGCGGTGTGTGCATCTGAACTTGCTGAACCACCGAGGCAACGGTCATGGAGGCGGCCGAAAGGGCCATGGATTCGGCGCACACGCAGTAAGTCCCGTCCTTGCAGAACCCGCACGACTCGTGCATCTCGACAGAGGTTATAGGCTGGGACTGCTGCTGGGCAGGGGCTGGAAGGGGGGTCATGGTTGTCTCAGGCTTCTTGGACGAGAACAAGGCAGTAAAGTCAGTCTCCAACTGCATGTCCTCGACGCCAGCATCAGAGCGCTGCCTCTTCTCGTCCGGACCCAACGAGGGCGAGCTGGGAGGTAGTGGCCTCTTGAGGTCGGCGGCCGCCAAGACGCGGATGGATTCCTCCAGACAAGCACACCTTCCTTCGGGAGTGCATCCGCCGCAGCCCATCAAGACGTTGGAACTTTGCATGAGCTCTTCAGCGCAGGCACATGAGCCGCTGCTCTGGCAGTTACCGCAGGTGACGTCTAGCGGGGACTGGGGAGCTTCCTCGGGTGGCGAGATGATCTGAGAGATGGAGAAGGGCTGAGCAGTTGGTCGTGGCTCTGCAATGGGGACGGAGTCCACCTTGGGCGCCAGCTGTGTCTGTTGCGTAGGCTGTTGTTGCTGTTGCTGTAGAGTATAGCCGTTGGACGGTTGTGATAGAATGGACTGCGGCGACATGTTGTTGTTGTCCCAAGAATTCTTCAGCGTATTGCGAGCCTGCTTCTCCTTCTCCAACATGTCCTCCAACCAGCGGCATCGCGATTGCAGGGTCTGGACTTGGACTTCGAAATGACTGATGCGACCCTGGAGCTCGCTCACAACGCGCTCATGCTCCTCCTTTTGCTCTTCCAGCTGGTCCTCCAACTCGCCGACGCGGGCGGCCCTGCGCTCGCGGAAAGCTCTCTGGGCAGCGCGGTTCTGTGCCTTGCGCTTAGTAGGAGGGGTGTCGGTGGCAGGCTTACGTCCAGGCTTTGGTCGGGGAGGGATGACCCATTCCTTAGTGGTCATGCTCAAAGGACCTCCTCCCCCAGGAGTAGGGCAGTCGACGGGCGACATGGCACCTTGGCTAGATACGGAGGCGGCTCTAATAGGGGCAGGTTTGGGTGCGACGCTGGGACGAGGCGCAATGGGAGGCACGCCAGTGAGGTTGGTGGTGGTTGCAGTGATGGAAGTCGATGATGCCGGAGTGGAGATGCCACAGCTTGAGGTTGGAGAGGGGGCCGAAGTGGCGGGGGTCGAGACGGCACTCGGGGAATCCCGCTTAGCAAAAGTGGCTGCGGTGGTTGATGATGATGATGATGATGTTGATGCCTGCTGTAGGGCTGACAGGTCCATATCAGATTGGAGATTTTGGCGTTGCCGATGTTGCACTTGTTGTTGTTCAATGGACATGGACACCGAGGTCATCTGACCGGCCATGTGAGCGGCAGAGGCGACGGCCGTCATGGCACAGTGCTGTCTGCCGTTGCTGGTTGAAATAATATCGATGTTGCACAAAGAACCGACGGAGCAGACCACCCGACTGCAGTCAATTTAATGAGGGGATCGATGGCAGGACTGGCGGAGGATCTGATAAGATGGCGTGGGTGTGATGGACCGTGGGAGGTTCCGGTATTCGGGCGGCCCGGGGGCAGGCGATGGGTTTTTATTTTAATGTCGCAGGCAGAGAGTGGACACTGCCCTGGAGCGGGAGAACAGTGGGCGGAACAGTGGATTTGGTCGCTGGGCCGTTGGCGCTGTCTCGTTCGTTTTCTGGGGCATTGCCCGAGCCGAAGCCGAGAAAAAACGTGGGGCGATTGTCCACTCGTGTCCGACTGCCGTGCCGGATTCTTGTGAATCCCGTCGATCAACAATTGTAATGACAATTGGTTGAAGATTGCTGTAAATTGAAATCAGGTATAGAAAAGGAAGAAGCTGACGGCTGTGGGTGTAGCGTGTTTGTATTAAATTGACTTGGATCAATGTCAGATCCCAATGTGTTTTTGGCTTCCCTTGTTGGCCAAAGGGGAACCAAGGTAAATCAAGGACAAGATTCTCCTTGGACAATGAGGGGTTGTCGATCCCCTTTTGGCAAGAACGATTGAAGACTCTGGTACACTGTAAGGAAAATTTGCACCTGGGAATGATCCGACACGGAAGGAGCGATTTGTGCTTGGGATACTCCAGTCTGGCATATGCCCGTGGCTGGGGTCTTCTCGGGTCCAAGCGAATTTCGGTCAATCTCGCCCACAAAATGAGGGCTCTCACTTGTTTGATTCGATGATCTGTGATGCTCATGCCCCGGGTTGCCTGGCTGACGAAAGGAACAAAAGGCCGACCAGTCTGACAGAATGCTCCACTGATTGATTGATTGATAAGATTACAATAAGTGCGCTAGTACAATCGCAGAATAGCCGCAGTTGCTAGTGCGTCACGGAAGAGTGGGGCACGTTGTGGTGAAGCGGGGACCTATGACTGGAGCTTCCACTTGGATGGATGTGCCTGTCCGGTTCGGCACCAGTCTCTGAACCTGTCAACGCGCGGATCAAAGAAGGGAACTGAACTGAACTGAACTGAACTGAACTGTGGAAGCGAAATGCTCAACGTGCCATTTTAACTGTATGACGCCGTGGTTACGAGGCTGAATCATCCGATCATCTTGCTCTATCCCCTACTACCGAGCCAATACGTCGGAAATACGACAGGCAGCCACTCATCAGCGTTACAAGCGATGTCGGCTGACGAAGGCGGTCTCCATCGATGCTGTGGGCAAGGGAAGGGGATCAGCCGCGGTGTGACTGGAGGCCATGGGTGATTCAATTGCGTTATTCATGACTAAACTTTTGCTCGGATTGGCACGAAACTGAAGGTCAATTTGTTGAATCACGACTGTGATTTTTTGAAAGCCAGATTTCCCTTGTGAGGATGCCGTTTGTGATCTAGCGAGATGTAGCTTTCATCGTTTCCCGAATAGACAAACCATTTGGTGATTTCGAGCTGAAGAGATGCACAGTGGTTTGAACAGAAGAGAATATTCAACCTGTTGCTTGTTTATAGGACGCTGAATATGGAAATCAATAAATTCACACAGCTCCTTTCGAGAAAGTCTTGCAAGACAGTGCTTGAATATGGAAACAAGACTCGGTGTTGTTGTGGTCAAAGGCCCCGCACCTTTCAACCCTCTTGCATGAGTCGACGGACCCACGGCAGTGCCAAGAGAAATTATCAGATCGGCCACATCTCCCACTGACCTGACAGAGCTCCGAGTGAACCCCGCGGGAACATCAAACACACAATCACACTCAACCGCGCAACCAACAGGGTCCCCAGCACTCAACAACAGCCACCGGCCCGATCAGAGATTTCTGTTTTACGCAATCAGGAACCAAAATATCCCCTCACGAAGTGGAATCTGCCCTGGCCGGGATTTTGAGGGTTATCAGATCACTCAATCATCAATCAACCCCACACCATCCTGCACTGCACTCCATTCCCGTCACCGAGGTGCAGTCCCGTCACGCCGAGTCCATCCATCCCGGTCCGCACTTCAAGGGAGCTCATAAACGGCCGAGCTGAATCCGAACCCGCACCCGCATCTAAACCGGAGTCGGAGCCGGAGTCGGACCTGAAGAGTCCCACATTTCCGGATATCAGCCCCTGAACCGGACACCGGCTTTCAAGAAACCACATTCTGCTACACTTCCGAATTCAGTCCGTTAAACACCGGCAACCAACCTCATTCGGCGGCAACAACAGCCACAAAAATGACAACCCTCAACACCCCCAACTTTGCCGCCCCCTCCTCCCATGGCCGCCCCTCCTCACCCCCTCAATCCCAAACCTCCTCACCCATCTCCCCAAAGTCCACAAACCACGCCTTCCCCTCCATCTCCACCAACCTATCCAACCTATCCAACAACCCCCCTCCTCCCCGCCTCACCACCACCTCTTCCCAACCGTCCCCCTCTTCTAAACAAGACGACGACGATATCTCCGACGACGACGTATCCAACCTCCCCTTCCCCACCGCCCTCCCCCGCCCCTCCTTCCTAACCCCTCACTTCTCCCCCCTCGCCTACCTCGACTCTCTCTACGCTTCTTCCTCTTCTCCCGATCCAACCAACGCCACCGTCACCACTATCACACCCTTCAGCCAAAGACACCAAACCCTCCCTGACCTGCGTTCGGAACTGCATACTCGCAGCCTGGCAATCAGTTCCGAACTGCTGGAACTCGTCAACGCGAACTACACCTCCTTTTTGAGTCTAGGGGATGAACTGAAAGGGGGAGAAGAGCGGGTGGAGGATGTGCGGGTTGCTGTGCTGGGGTTCAGGAGGGCAGTGGAGGAGGTTCGGACCAAAGTTAGAGAAAAGAGGGGGGAGATTGGAGAGCTGGTCAAGGAGTTGGGATACGTGCGGGGCGGAGTTGAGTGGGGGAGGGGAGTGTTGGAATTGGGGGAACGGGTGGAGGGGTTGGAGGTGAAATTGAATATGGGGAGTTTGGGGAGTACGGGGGGAAGTGGCGGGGCGGGAACAGGAGCGGGAGCGGGAGTGGAAGCGTGGGTGAAAAAGGGGACGATTAATGCAGAAGAAGATCGGGTGGGGGAAGAGGATGAATATGAAGGGTGGGATGATGGATCGGAGGATTTCAAGGAGGAAGTGGTTGACGATGATGGGGAAGGTGACGATGAGAGAGAAGGGTTCGTGGCAAGTAGTCCGGCGGAGTTGGAGGCGCTGGCGAAAGAATATGTCAAGATTGAGCAGATGGCGGATAGATTGGGTGGGCACGAGGTGCCGTTTGTGAGGAAGATGGAGGAAAGGATGATTAGGTGCCGGAATACGATCCTGTTGGATTTGAGTACCGCGTTGAAGGAGGCGAGGAGGGCTGGGGAGAGGGGCAAGAAGAGGGTGGTTAGGTATTTGGGTGTTTATAGACTGTTGGACGCGGAGCAGGAGGCTGTTAGGGTGTTGAAGGAGAAATAAGTCCGATGTTAGAAGCAGATAATGGATGGTTCATGTAATAGAAGGCCGCTGCTAAGGAGTTAAAAGTACAGTTCTGAAGGACAATTAATACACATAATACACATAATACACATACCTGAACACATAAAACCAAGCATAAGGGTATACCCATGTTACCAACCGCTCCATTTTGCCATTATAATACATGCCTATGATACAAGGAAATCTAGCCCAACACCCCCGTCATATACTACAACAGCACTCTTACATGACCGACTCCAGATCCTCGGGCTTGATCTTGTCGTCGGTAGGCGCAAACTCGGCGTTCAGACTCATGCCAGGACCGTGGGTAGTGCTCAGAACCACCTCCTCCACCATCTTGGGCGTGGTATCATCCAGCTTGCTAATGTCGGACTTGATCTTGGCCATGAACACACGAATGTTCTCGGCCAGCTGCTTGGGGGTGAAACCAAGCTGGCCAACCGCCATGCGCACGACACCGTTCCTCTCCCTGTACTCGTCCATGCCAATCATGTCCCGGAAGGTGGCCTCGAGGTTGTTGGTGATGGTCTTGGTCTTGCCGCTGGGCATCAGACCCTTGGGACCGAGCAGCTTTCCGACGTTGGCCTTGCGCAGCGCGCCCTCGCTCTCGGTGTGGCAGAGGAGCTTGTTGAAGGAAAAGTTGCCCGACCGGATCGCCTCGAACAGGGTCTCCTCGCCGGCCATGACGGCGCCGAGGTTCTTGGCCTCCTCCTGCAGCGCGCTGCCCTCGGGGCAGATGACGGCGATACGGGTGTCGGTCTTGACGGGGGTCGGTAGGCGGACGCGGTCGCGCACGACGGGACCGTTCTTTTTTGTCCTGAGCTTGACGTGCACCTCGTACTTGACGGACAAGGGGGGTTGGCCGACCTCGACGGCGCGGAGGTAGCTGGTTGGTTACAGTTAGTGTTGTGTTATGTTTAAGAGAACAGCTGAGGATTCGCAACATACCGCATAGCATCGCAGAGAGAAAACTGCTGCTGGCCGGTCAAGTCCCATGACTTGAAGAACTTGTACTGCTTCTTCTTCTTGGGCGCCTTCTTGGCTCCGCCCTTGTTGGGGTTGTTGGTCGCATATCGAACCTGCGATGCGGCGACCGACGGGACGAGGAACTTGGGTATTGTCGGAAGAGCAGCTCTGGTGGGCGTCGACAGGCTAAGCCTTGCCAGCGAGGCAAGACATTGTTGTGTTGAAGCCATTGTGTGTGAGAGAGGAGCTGTGGTCGGGTGTCGCACTCTCCGGTAGAAGGGGAACTCGAGGGGCGGCGGGCGGCGACGGCGGCAGCGGGACGGGGGGAATCGTGAATCGAATCCTCGAGTCGGGGACGGCAGCGGGCAGTCAGTCCAATCTCGGAGGGGTCCCGGCGCGGGCAATTGGCACGCTTCCTGCCCAGAAAAAAAGTTGGGCCCGGGGCAGGCTGCGCGGCACTGCGCGGCACTGCGCTGCACCGGCTGGACATCGGCGCGGCAGGCAGCGCATTGATACCTCGCTCGCTGTTAGGACTTGCAGTGCTGAGCCACAGTTTCTGAGAGGAACGCCTCAGTCCGTCTTGACTTGGGTTCCATTCCACTTAACACTGCAGTGACAAAGCGCCACACCCATCCTCACACAACTGCCCGACTGCCCGTACCTACCCCGGACGCTACCGCAAGCGCTAAACTTCAGCGGCACACCTGAAGACCCCGCCGCTTACTCCACCCACCCGTCCCGCTGTGCCCCTCCAAAAACTTCCTTGACTCAATTGTCCCGGTGTTTCGTTGTTTTCTTGTACAGTTTTCACCCCAATTCCACATATACCCCCATCCATCACCATGAAGCTGGACGAGCTCAAGCCTCTCGAGGCCCTCCTCACCGCGGACTTCCGCCAGATCGAGCCCCGCCTGCAGGCTCTCGACAAGCACCTGATCCTGCGCACCTACCTCGACGGCTACACCCTCGGCGACATCGACACCAAGATCTGGCTCGCCCTCCGTGGCAACCGCGCCGCCGTCTCCTTCATCAAGCGCGGCTCGCTCGCCAACCTTGCCAGATGGTTCAACTACATTGAGGAGAACCACCCCGAGATCCAGGCCGAGATCAAGGCCAAGGATGCTGCCGCCAAGGCCAAGGTCGCCGCCGCCTCCAAGGCCGGTGCCAGCTATGCGCTCGCCCTCCAGAACGCCGACCAGGGCGTCGTCACCCGTTTCCTTCCCGAGCCCTCGGGCTACCTTCACATCGGACACGCCAAGGCTGCCCTCCTCAGCGACTACTTTGCCCACCAGGCCTACAAGGGCCAGTTGCGCCTCCGTCTCGACGACACCAACCCTTCCAAGGAGAAGCAGGAGTACCAGGATGCCATCATTGAGGATCTCGCCCTCATGGGCATCAAGCCCGACACGGTCACCTACACTTCCGACTACTTCGACTACCTCTACGACATGTGCGTGCGCATGATCAAGGAGGGCCACGCCTACGCCGATGATACCGACCAGGACACCATGCGCGACCAGCGCTGGAAGGGTATTGCCTCTGCCCGCCGCGACCGCTCCGTCGAGGAGAACTTGCGCATCTTCACCGAGGAGATGAAGAACGGTACCGAGGAGGGTCTGAAGAACTGCATTCGCGCTAAGCTGTCCGTCGACAACCCGAACAAGGCTCTCCGCGACCCCGTCATCTACCGCTGCAACATCGAGACCCCTCACCACCGTACCGGCACCAAGTGGAAGATGTACCCCATGTACGATTTCGCCTGCCCCGTCGTTGACAGCCACGAGGGCGTCACCCACGCTCTCCGCTCCACCGAGTACACCGACCGCAACCCCCAGTACCAGTGGTTCATTGATACCCTCAAGCTCCGCCAGGTCTACATGTGGGATTTCGCCCGCATGAACTTCATCCGCACCTTCCTCTCCAAGCGCAAGCTCGCCAAGCTCGTTGATACCGGCAAGGTCTGGGGCTGGGACGACCCTCGCATGCCCACCATCCGTGGTGTGCGCAGGCGCGGTATGACCATCCCCGCGCTTCGCGACTTTATCCTCAAGCAGGGCCCCTCCCGCAACGTCGTCACCATGGATTGGACCAACTTCTGGGCTAGCAACAAGAAGGAGATCGACCCCATTGCTCCCCGCCACACCGCTATCACCAAGAAGGACGCCGTCAAGGTGGTCGTCAAGGGCGCCGATGCCCCCGCCGAGCCCGTCAAGCAGGAGAAGCCCAAGCACCCCAAGAACAAGGAGGTCGGCACCAAGCAGGTCACTTTCGCCAACGAGCTCATTATGGACCAGGCCGACGCCAAGTCGTTCAAGGACGGCGAGGAGATTACCATTATGGGTTGGGGTAACGGCTTTGTCCGCAACATTGACACCTCTGCCGAGGTCATCCCCACCTTTGAGATCGATCTCAACCTTGCCGGCGACGTCAAGTCTACCGAGAAGAAGGTCACCTGGCTCGCGTCCAAGGGCCAGACGCTGGTCCCTGCCGAGCTCTGGGACTTTGACTACCTCATCACCAAGGACGTTCTCCAGGAGGAGGACAACATGGAGGACTTCCTCAACCCCGTCACCGAGACCATGGAGGAGGCCTGGTGCGACGAGGCGGCGGCCTCCCTCAAGAAGGACGACATCATTCAGCTCGAGAGACGCGGGTACTACCGGGTTGACAAGGGTCTCAATGACTGGAAGGAGGGCGAGGAGAAGAAGCTTGTGCTGTTCTGCATTCCTACTGGCAAGACTGGTTCCAAGTAAGTGTGTTGCCACTGAAGCATCATGTAAGCGGGGAAAAGTTTGTTGATAGAAGGCTTGTTGATGAATGAATGTAATGAAAACATTTGTATGGTCATGTTGTACGACACAATTGTGACCTTTTGAGCACCTGTTTTACAGATGTCTTGAAAGGGTTAGGGTTGAGTACTTGCAAACCCATTGGCTACACCCAAGTTGTCTCAACTCGGCGCAATTGCTCACTTACCCGGCACAATTACTCACTTACCCGGCACTTTCGCAAAACTGAAGCTTGCAGGCATCTTGACGACAGGGTAGCTACTTGAAGTTTGGACGATACAAAACACATTATCAAAAGAAGAATTTCACAAACCGTGCCTCTTTTGCGGGACGGGAGCTTCCGCCTGTGCCCGTTTGCGGCGCTGCACTTGCACTTGTGACTTGCGACTTGTGTCACCGCCCATGATGCAGACGCCAAACCCGACAAGCCACCATCGACAAGACAGGTAAGTAGATTCCAAAACTCAACCCAATTTTCCTATCCTGAAACCCCGCCGGGTCTTGTCATCGAACAATCCAGAATCAAACCAAGATTGCCGATAGTCGATCACATCAAATGGATAAATGGTGATGTGAAGCACTGGGCAGCGCAAGCGAAGCAAGCCAAGCGAACATGTCACAGACACGTAAAAATGCTACGCAAATGTAACAAAATGCAACGGTTCAAGAACCAGGTTTTGTGTAACGGGGTGGAAGACGAGAGAAATCAGCCCGCCCAGACGGACAAGAAGGGACAAGACAATGCCGAGAAGCAACAAGTCTCCAAAAGGAAGTTGGATTGGAGAAAGACGGCTTGGCGAAGGGGTTTGTACAAATGAAACCGAACAATAGACACCAGCTCGCTGTAGCTAACTTATCTACCTTACCTAGGAGAGGCCGTTATAAAACTGTGATAGGAGGTTACAATAACGGTGAATTATCATATCGACCAAAGGGGGGTTTACCTCATCATCAATTCTCTGGAATCAACGGGCAATTAAAAGCGGAAAGGTACCGCAGGACACTCCTGCCTGCAGTGCCGCTCTTTGGGCCCTGACAGCGATCGACGCCAGGCTTGGCTCGGATCAGTTCGGGGGACGTGCGCCCACCTGAAAGCGACCGAATGCTTGTCCAACAGGCCTGAAAATGAGTGCCGAGAACATTCTGAAAATACCCAAGGGAAAAAAAGATCTTGACGTCATTCGCTGTTCGGTTCGTTCACCTCTTGGCTTTTGCTTTTTTTGTTGCTTGTGGTTCCAGGAGCTTGTATGCCAAGTCGAGAAAAGCGCAATCAATGTCTCACACGACCTGATTTCAAGACTTGTGCTCATTTCCCTTTCCCCCCAAGGTCCAGGTCCCCCAGCCATCTCCATTCTGTCACCCAAAGTCCCAACAACTGGTTGTTGTGTCAATCTAATTTCTCTCTCTCTCTCCTCTCCATTTCTCTCTTTCCATCTTTTTCCCGTACCTACCTAATCGTTAATTCGATCTTTCCATTCCGCCTTCCATCCTTATTAGTGGAGGTCGTGCGTGTTCTGGATTGGTGAACAGCGTTGCGGTCTGTTTACACGCAACTCGACAACCCGGCAACGAACTGGAGCTCCCTCCGTTCCTGGAAATATAAGCTTAAAACAGCTCCACCACCACGAGCTTCACCTTCTCCCCAGGTCCCTGAATTCCCACATCAACAACTACACACATCTCGTCGATTCAAGTACTCGACGACAAACTCGAAGCAGCCGCAGCGATGAGCGGGCCACAGTATGGCGCCCAGCCTGGTGGCTACTACAATAACAACAACAACTACCCTCCGCCGCCGCCCAACTCGTACCAGATGAACCCCATGCCGACCGATGGTAACTACGGCCAGCAACCGCAGTATGGATATGGAGGTCCACCGCCGCAGCAGTATGGAAATGGTTATGGGGATGGCGGGTACGCTCCGCCTCAGGGACCTCCGCCGAACGGGTACAAACCTCCTCCGACCGATGGTTACGGCGGCCCCCCGCCCTCGTACGACGAAGTGTTCAAGGTCCAGAAGCCCAAGTACAACGATTGGTGGGCCGGGCTTTTGTTCCTGGCTACCGTTGCTGGATTCGTCGCGGTTTCGGCTATCAGTATTCATGGTTATGGTAGGATAATCTCCAATCTTCAATGTCAATATCTCGAAGTGTAAGACGATGTGAGATTCACTAACACACACACAACAGCCGACAACAGAAGTCAAAACAATGGCAGCCTCAATGGTCAACGCAACACTTTTGGTCTCACCACTCACACCATTTACCTCTTCGTCTGGGTCCTGATTTGCGCCATTGTCCTCAGTTATGCGTACATGTGGATGGCCCGCAAGTTTACCAAGCAGTTCATCTACGCCACCGGCATCCTCAACATTGTTATGGGCCTGGTGACGGCACTTTACATGTTGTCTCGCAAATACTGGTCCGGCGGTATCGTCTTTCTGATCTTCGTCGTCCTCCAAGCCCTCTTCTTCTGGTCCTGCCGGTCGCGCATTCCCTTTTCGACCTTAATGCTCCAAACCGCCATTGACGTCTCCAAGGTGCACGGTCACGTCTACCTCGTTTCCGCCGTCGGCGGTGTCATCGGCACCCTGTTCGCCGCTTACTGGGCCATCACCCTCGTAGCCGTCTACGTCAAGTTCGAGCCGGACCCGAACAACGCCGCCTGCCGTAACGCCGGTGGGTGTTCCTCAGGCAAAGTCATTGGCCTAATTGTCTTTATCACCTTCGCCGGCTACTGGATCTCGGAGTGGCTGAAGAACACCATCCACACCACCGTTGCGGGCATTTACGGGTCGTGGTACTTCAACAGCCGCAACTATCCGACTAAAGTTACCCGCGGCGCCCTCAAGCGCTCACTCACTTACTCCTTTGGCTCGATTTCTCTGGGATCCCTCTTCATCGCCATCATCAACCTCATCCGCCAACTCGCCCAGGCTGCTCAACAAAACGCCGCGCAGGAGGGCGACATCCTCGGAACCATTCTCTGGTGCATCTTTGGGTGTCTGATCGGCATCTTGGACTGGCTCGTCGAGTTCATCAACCGCTACGCCTTCTGCCACATTGCGCTCTACGGAAAAGCCTACTTTGCCGCGGCCAAGGATACCTGGAAGATGGTCAAGGACCGGGGAATCGACGCTCTGATCAATGAATGCCTGATCGGCCCCGTGCTAACCTTTGGCGCTACTTTCGTCGCTTATGCGTGCGGTCTGATTGCCTATCTGTACATGGTGTACACCAAACCGGCGTATAATGATGGAGGTGGATTCACACCCGTGGTGGTCGCGTTTGCGTTCCTGATTGGGTTGCAGGTGTGCAATGTGTTTACGACGCCGCTGACGAGTGGCATTGATACGATATTTGTGGCGATGGCGTGGGACCCCGAGGTGTTGATGAGGGATCATCCGGATTTGTATCACAGGATGGTGCAGGTTTATCCCCATGTTCAGGAGGCTATTCATGCGTGATTTGGCCTCCTTCTGTGGTAGATGGGAAGTAATATTGGAGGATGGGCGAGGCAGGCAGGGAGGGGAGAGTAGAAAGAAAGACGGGCCGCCCCCTTACTGGTGGCTGTCAAAAAGAAAGGAGAGAGGGCGGTTACATACCGTTTTCGCGAAGGGGAAGAAAAAAAAAAACCTAGGAATGCCTATACGATACCTGCTGCAACTTGTAATTCTTTAAGAGGGAGTTCGTGCGTCAGGAGGGTTTGATACCATGGGTAATAAGCAGGAAGGTCGATTCCTTGGTTGGTTGCATGCATGGAAGGGTGGGGGGTGAGGAGAATGATACCAGAGCAAAGCAGGAAACGAGAGAGGATAGGTAGGTAAGAAGAAGGTAGTGCAGACGAATGAATACCTAAGAATAAGAAGGATAGTAGTAATAGCAAAACCTAAAATGACTACCTATCTACCTAATTACACTTATCTAGCTACCCTCTTTTTTCATTCATATACTGCTGCTATGATGCCAGTTGCCTTTGAACCGTTTCGCCGCCTTCGTCAGTTCCTATACCTCTAGTTAGGTAGGTAGTTACCTAGTCAGTGATCACTTCTGCGGTGGCTGTTGGATAACTCGACGTTAATTATAATTTCTGCCTGTACCTGCCTCTCTCTCTCTCTCTCTCTCTCTCTTTGGTAAAGAGATGGTCTTCGTTTGGGATAGGTAGTACCTAGTATTGGGACATCAACATTGAGACCAAGACTCCGTCTCTACACTACAGATAGGAAGGAAGGAAGGAAGGAAGGAAGGAAGGAAGGAAGGAAGGAAGGAAGGAAGGAAGGAAGGAAGGAAGGAAGGAAGGAAGGAAGGAAGGAAGGAAGGAAGCTTGTTTGTTGTATCTACCTAGGTAGGTAGGTGGGTATCGCTATCTGCCATCTTCTTGTGGTTTCTTGTGGTGCCCTTGTGGTGTTCCCGTCGTCGCCTGTGAGACTCTCGACTCTCAAAAACCAAGGCTGGAAGACTGGAATCAAATTGATATATGTATATTTGTATAGTAGGTAGTGATTTATTGGCTACGAGCTCAACGTTAAAGCCTTCTTTTACCATTTCAGTGAGTGAGTGAGTAAGTGATGCGTTTTTGCTTATGTAGGTATGTATCGAGTTGATGGGTGGATGGGTGGATGGATGGATGGATGGTACGGTATTTATCTATGTATAGATAGGTAGGTAGGTAGGTAGGTAGGTAGGTAGGTATGTTTTGGTTAGGTAGGTAGGTAGACTAAAGTCAGATACAACACTACACAACACTACACAACACAGCACTACCTACCTACCTTTTATGATCCCCATCTCTACCTAGGCATCTTCCGTTTCTATTTTCATTTTTTCATATCTCTTAATTACCTAAGTAGGTAGTTTAGTCCGTCCCCCCACCCCTCCTCAACAGTTTCTGAAATCGGGAAAATACATACATTTCAGCCCTGCTTTATCTGTGTGTTACCTAGTTTGGTACACACACTGTTTATCGGGTAAACGCAATGACATCGGTCTTGAAGGAGACGGAGACGTCAGATTTATATATATATCTAGGAAAATATCTATGAAAAGTTTTCTGCGGCGTCCTGAATTCCTTGCCATTTGTTCCACATGCCTACCTAGGTAGCTTCAACGGGATGACAGTTCCTTCATCTCTTGGAAGACTACCTATAAAGAGCTTTGAGAGCTTCCTGTTTAATTCCTGCTTAAAAAAGAACTGAATTAACACATGAAGAAACAAACCATCCTGTGTTTCTTAACTAGATGTTTTTAGCTAAGTTGCGGACGCGGATGTTCCAAGCAAGTACTCGATGATGACATGCAAGGATCGAACGAAACTTTCAGGAAGAAAGAGGTTCGTTCATACTTCGATTGATTAAGCGTGTTCGCATCGCTGTCTCATCTAACTACCTAGGTACCTATATGTTTCCATTGGCTCATAAGCTTGGTAACGAAGTGACAACGCTGTTTTTTTCTCGGCCTTCCCTTATACAGTAGTCGTACAGGTATCCCCTTCCGCTTCCGCTCCCACGTCCGCTGGTGTGTCTTCCAGGTCATATATATTTTCCTCGTCCGTTTGAGTGGTAACCTCCCCCGACATCAACTTGTAAGTCTCAAAGTAACAAACATTTGTGAGAAACCATTTGTTTCCCCAATACGTTGACACGTTGAAGACATACTCTTCACCTGTATATGTAATGTTTACCGACATCAAGTCCTCATCAGGTGCTGGGCCGTCGTTAGCGGCCGTACTGGGCGGTACGGACGACGATGCTGACGTGGGAATGGTTTTATTGCTTGTTGATGTTGGCGGCGGTGCCGTTGTCGTTGGCTTGCTAGAGGTGACTGTGCCTTTCTCTACGGTCTCGGCCAGCTTCATCGAAACATAATTCCAGAAACCCCTCCTCTTCACAGCGGAAAAGCATAGCACAAACCACTGGTCATTTTGGATAGCACGTAGCGTTGGTCCTGCGGATCGCCTGGCTTCCTGAATTTCCGGTTGAAGTTTGGTCCATACCCTCCAAAAAACAGCCTCGATGATTGCGAACTTGGACCTGGTCAGCTCCTTCAGCCTCGACAAGAAGACCATCTCCTGCCACATAACGAACGCTACCATGTTCGACGCGGACGGGTACGGGATGTGGTAGGCGAGCATAGCCCGACGGAGGTATTCTATTTCACCCATGGAGATGCGGATCTCCAGCATCTGCACATCTGCACCACCAGCGAATTTGGCGGCGTCAACGGTCCCAACGCGCTTGTCGAGCCGCTGCACAGCCCACTTGTACTTAGCCAGCGCGTGCTCGGGGTTACACATGAAAAAGACGAGGTCTGCTCTTTTGTGAGCTCTTCTCCGCGGCATCACGGAAGCCACTCTGTCTTGGGGGTCGCCGTCGCCGGTAACATTGTTATAGAGAAAAGGTTCCCGCTCGGGCTCCCTGGGTACTTCTACCAAGCTGTCGATGTTGGACACCCCCACAGGGCCGAGATTACCGGAGCTAGATACTCTGGTGTTCTTGAGCTGCGTACCGGTCACGACTTTGTACAATATCAAGTGATCCTGTGTTGTGTGTCTTTCACTATCTTTGCGAACAGTGCAGGCGCAAGGAGGAGCATCCGGCGGTCCTCTGAGCCCTGCCAGAAATGTAAATTCGAGAACTGGTCCTCCGCAGCGAAGGTTCTTTGCGGTGTAGAAATCAGGCACCTCGTCTTCATCTTTGTCTGGGCGGCCACTGTGCGCCAAGAGTGAGATGGGTACATCTATGTTCCGTTTGCGTCGATGCTAGCGGGCCTGGAAACAGGCTTAGCTTGGAGGAGGGTGACGAGGATAAAGGGGGAACGTCCCAGTCGTGATGTTCCCATATCCGAGCAGTTCTTTTCCTCGAGGTGGTGTATATTTCTACCAACAAGTCCCAACGCTGTCGCAGGGTGTCTTCAATCCAGTAGTTGCAGGATTCGGTTAGACGTTGGGCGCGGAAACAAGGGTCCATGATCATGTTCACGAATTGTTGGGAGAGACCATGGGCGTGAAGGACTCGTCTCCATTCGTTATCATCATCGTTGAATTTGCTAAGGGTTGGAATCCCACCGGCAACGTCGGGAAGACGAAAATAGGTCAAGATGACGTCGCGGAATTCGAGAATGCCTGGCCTTCTGTTGCTGTGAAGGTAGAGCCATTGTTGCCACAGCTGGTCGGCCATCTTGTTACTGAAGCCAAGCCAGATGAGCGCTTCCCGTGAAATGAAAATCATTGGTATCTTGAGCATATCGGACGGCTTTGCTGGGGATTTGCGGAGGGCATGTGAGATGTCATCGTGGCTGAGGAAGCAACCTTTGTGCAGTTCATGATATCCAATATCATGGTTCAGATTCAACAGGCCGTACTCTTGCAGGCCACGGGCGTCCTCCTTCGTCAGAACGAACCATGAACGATCGTTCGACATTGCGCGCCACTGTCAGAAAAAGAAAAACTGATATCAATGTAGAGATATGTAGAAGGCAGCAATGGGAGGTGTATCCAAAGAGTACGGGGCTGATTTGGTGGAAAGATTGGGGAACGGTGAGAGAATTGTGGGATTTATGCCCACGGGTATCATTCGAAATTGGCTCATCCAGCAACGCAGCTTCCGACTAGGGCTTTGGGACCTGCCCATCAGCATCATCAGCATCGACATCATCGTTTGTTCCTTCTTCCACTTTATCACCTTTCGCCACTCCCCTGGTCGGCCAGCCCTCTGCCTGCCTCTTTGCCCACTTGACAGCCTTCTGGTGCTTCTTGCTCTTGAGGTGCTTCTGCCACTGTTCTTCGATTCTAAACTCCTTCTCGCACACTTCACATGTCTTGTTGCATATTGTCTCGGGTCGGTTGCTCCTTTCCAACTGCTCGGCCAGCACCTCTCTTGCAGTGTCCGACAAGTCTTCTGGTCGCGGTAGCGGCTGATGGGCAAGATGTTTGGCTAGAAGAGAACTTCCTTTCTCGGCTACTTCAGAGTGCCAATGGGAAATGTTGGACGAGTCCAAGAGATAGAAGTTGGACAGAAGATTCTCTTCCTGAAGGGCTGCAATGGTCTTTCGAGCAATCCACCTGATTTGGTATTTTGCGTACTGGCGGGTTGCTGTCTTGGTGTCCTCGATTCCTTGTTGCTTGAGTTTTTCCAGTGCGGCTTGTGGAGTGTCGGTTTCGGTAGACTTGACGGCGGATAGATATGATTCGAATTGGCGGAACCCGATGGACTGCCAGATGCCCTTGGTGCGGTCGACAGTGTCACCTGCTGCGAGACGGCGCTGTAAATAGTCGTAGACTGACGATGTTTCGTCCAAAAGACCATTGGCTACCATCTTGTCTACACGCTTGTCAAGGCGTTCGTTGAGCATGTCGGGCTTGGCGTAGAGCCAGAAGAGAAGCAAATTCCAGGGACTCGGTGGCTGCTCTGCGCGCTTGGCCTCTTTCCGAGCGCGCTGTTCGGCATATATGTCGGAGGCGCGGCGGCCAGTGGTGAGGTAAATCTCGAGCGAGTTGCGAATCTTGCGAATGTCTTTGGGGTGCCATCGCTCGGCCATGGCTGGGTCGACTTCTTGTAGCTTGGCCAGCATGACCTCGGCGGACTCGCGAAGAATTGGGTGTTGGCTTGCGAGTTCGTCTCGTGTAGCTTTGGCGGCGGCTGTCTCTGATCCGTCGGTCGTCGCAGGATCCGACTCAACCAGCTTCTCGTCGAACAGCAGGCCGTCAAGATAGTATGAAGTTCCTCCTACTACAATGGGCAGCTTTCCCCTCGACCTGATATCCGATATAATCTTTGTGGCTTCGCGTTTCCAGCTGGTGACAGACCATGGCTCCTCGTCGAGTCCAATGTTGCCGAGGAGGTAATGGGGGATGCCGCGCTGCTCTTCGGGAGTGAGCTGGTTGGTGATGATGGGTAGGCCTCGGTACATTTGCATGGCGTCGGCGTTGATGATTTCGCCATTGAATCGGGTCGCCAGTTCTACGGCAAGCTGGAGCCATAATCATTGTGATCAGCGCACTGGGATTGCAATGGTGAACAAATGGCTGGTGAAGTAGATCATGGAGGTAGCTGTCGTACATCAGACTTGCCGGTGCCCGTGGACCCGTAGATGACAACCAGAGGGTCTGCCATTGTTGCTGTGCAACGAATGGTCTGGGAGAATACTGGAATGGTCCACCTCATTGGCCTTTATTGGAGAAGTGTGTCGAGGTGCTGAGGCGCATTGCTCTAAAGCGTTGACGAAATGGGAGAAAAGAAAACAAACATTAAAAAAGTTCAAGATTGGGATTGATTGAATTGGCAATTGACCCCGGCAGGCATCCACCCCACCAAGCCCACCTTCAATCGCAAACTAAGTTGACACACGGGTTGTTGTCGATAAGAGAAATGGCATCCACACGCTGACTCCTACCATAACCCCTGCCTACGGCTGTCCCTGCGGCTGTCCAGGGCTTCCCCAACGATTTGGATTCCAGTTTCAACAAGGGGGCGGCTGGAAAGTGGAGGGACGGTATGCCCTTCGATTGTGGACAGCCGGCCCGGATGTTGCCTGCCGAAGAAGCTTCCCGCTCCTCGTTCTGGGTGTGAGCTAGGGAGGTCACTTGTTGGAGGTTGAGGTGCTCTGCGGTTGAGGTTGCTCTCCCCGCCCCTGCAGAAACGTCAAAGAAGCTCTGTCCAGCTCCAGCGGGAACTGAAGGCTGGCTGCCCTGGCCATCGATGCAATTCGCGGCTATCATTGGTCTCGAGTCACGTGGAGTGGGTCTCTTCCCAAGAACACTAGCAGCAAGCCAGCAACCGGGACCCTCCAAATTGGACACATCACACTTGGGCGACTTTTTGGACAGATCTCGCGACGCACCGCCTTCCGCCTTCCGTGTCCCTCGGCCAGCTTCCACTTCCACACTTCCACCCGACTTCCAGGACACTTCTTTTAATCGCCAACTCCTCCTCCTCCTCCACCCTTCCTTCCACTTCCTTTCCTTGCTTGATCCTTCAACGCAGCGCCGACAACACTCTCTGCGCTTTCAACTCTACAAAGGGCTGTTGTCGCCCGTTTAATTTAATCTTCCTTCTTTTTACCCTTCCCTTCTTCCTTCACACACGCCATTGCCCACCATGAGTTCCCGTAAGTTGTTCGGTCATCGACGGCCATGTTGAACACACGCGTAGGCGCGTTGGCGATACCAGACTGTCCGTATAACTAACCTCACCTCCCGCCCGCCATGCAGTACGGTTCCTCGATCTCGTCAAGCCCTTCGTGCCGTTCCTCCCCGAGGTTCAGCAGCCCGAGACCAAGATCCCCTTCAACCAAAAGTTGATGTGGACGGGCTTGACCCTGCTCATCTTCTTGGTCATGAGCCAGATGCCCCTCTACGGCATTGTCTCGTCCGACACGTCCGATCCGCTATACTGGCTGCGTATGATGATGGCGAGTAACAGAGGTACCCTGATGGAGCTCGGTATCACCCCCATCATCTCCTCCGGCATGGTCTTCCAGCTCCTGGCCGGCACCCACATGATCGACGTCAACCTCGACCTCAAGGCCGACCGCGAGCTCTACCAGACGGCCCAGAAGCTGTTCGCTGTCATCCTCTCCATCGGCACCGCCACTGTCTACGTCTTCACCGGTCTCTATGGCCCTCCCAGCGACCTCGGCGCCGGTATCGTCTTCCTCCTCATCCTCCAGCTCGTCGTTGCCGGCATGATTGTCATTCTCCTCGATGAGCTCCTCCAGAAGGGCTATGGCCTCGGCAGCGGTATCTCGCTGTTCATTGCCACCAACATCTGCGAGTCCATCATGTGGAAGGCCTTCTCCCCCACCTCCATCAACACCGGCCGTGGCCCCGAGTACGAGGGTGCCGTCATTGCCCTCTTCCACCTCCTCATGACCTGGGACAACAAGCAGCGTGCTCTCTACGAGGCTTTCTACCGCCAGAACCTCCCCAACATCATGAACCTGCTCGCCACCCTCGTCGTCTTCGCCGCCGTCATCTACCTCCAGGGCTTCCGCGTCGAGATCCCCGTCAAGTCTTCGCGCCAGCGTGGTGCCCGTGGCTCTTACCCCATCCGCCTCTTCTACACCTCCAACATGCCCATCATGCTGCAGTCCGCTCTCTCCTCCAACGTCTTCCTGATCAGCCAGATGCTCTACTCTCGCTTCTCCGAGAACCTTCTGGTCCGTCTTTTCGGCGTCTGGGAGGCCAAGGAGGGTACTGCCCAGCTCTCTGCCGTTTCCGGTCTCGTCTACTACATGAGCCCCCCTCTCAACTTCAAGGACGCTCTCCTCGACCCCATCCACACCGCCGTCTACATCGCCTACATGCTCACTGCCTGCGCCGTCTTCTCCAAGACCTGGATTGAGGTTTCCGGCTCCAGCCCCCGCGATGTCGCCAAGCAGCTCAAGGACCAGGGTCTCGTCATGGCCGGCCACCGCGAGCAGAGCATGTACAAGGAGCTCAAGCGTATCATCCCCACTGCTGCCGCTTTCGGTGGTGCCTGCATTGGTGCTCTCTCTGTTGCCAGCGACCTCATGGGCGCTCTCGGCTCCGGTACCGGTACTCTCTTGGCTGTCACGTAAGTCTTGTCACTTGATTGCGGCTAAATGACCAATTTGCTAACATTTCCCCTCTTCAGTATCATCTACGGCTACTTCGAAATTGCCGCCAAGGAGGGTGATCTTCAGGGCATGAAGGGTATGATCATGGGTTAAGAGATCCAGATCTATGCCTTGGTATCATATCAAGAGGTATCAAAGACCTCGAATCAGGTCATCCATGATGACGAAGGCAATCCTTAATACGGGCTTGCCGGGCTGGCTACCTGATGGTACTATATGTGGAATATAATGAGTGGAAAGAAATCAAGATAAACCTATGTCGTGTTGTGTGTTTGTGTAACTCAAATGTGTATTATACTACCTCGGGAAAAACCAAAGGGTCCACAAAAAGGGTGGCGTCTTTATGAGCACTCGCTGGAAGCGAGCGGGCGGATGGGGCGGGGTTAGGGAAGACAGTGGTTGCTATCTTTATCTGGCCCTCAATATATTGGATGTATAACATGAATAACGAATGGTTACAACAAACCGAGGGGTATCAGGCCTGCCGTGGGATGGTGGTTGGACGTAGTGATTACATCCAGGTCATTGCTTCCATGCTGCTCGAGGGTTTGTTCAAGAGCTCCTTGGACCACGTATTACTGATTTGACGGTTGACAAATAGTATGGAAGCACATATGCACAAATAATAAGAGAAGGCAGAGACTCTTGATTTATCGGCGCTTCATTCCTGTTTCATTTCTACAGCCCTGTTTCATTTCTACAGCCCTATTTCTTTTTTTTCTTTTGTTCTTTTTGTCCTCTTCTTTTACTTACCACTCACTAGACAACAGGACTTGACCTAAACAAGCCTTTGTTTCTGCTCTGCTGTCGCCTTCATTTCCATCTTCAACAATCCAACATGCGGATTTCTCTCCATCTTCGGATCTGTCCGAGCTTTATCAGGCAGTTCTGGTGCCTGTACTTTGCGGTTTCTCTACCTGTCAGCCATTAACATACCCAAGCCATCCACCTCTTGGTTCAAACTTGAAGACAACCGAACTTCTTTTATTTCAAATGTCCCGTGAAACAAAAAGGAGAGATCCGTATATCTAGGCTGGTGTAGTACAAGGGATATCATTTCTGTGTTTTTATTTTTTGATAGTTTTTTTTTTGGTATTCTTCAACTCTATCCCATCTACCTACTACCGGGAATTATGATGTCCTGTCCTGTACTGTACTGTACTGTACTTTTTATCTATCCTGTCACTCATCTACCCTACAATTGAACTGAACCGAACTGAACTGTTCAAGACACGGAAATAAAAAAGCAGAGATCAAGCCTCAATCTGACTCTTGACCCACTTTTCCAATCCTCCCCTGGCAATAATCTCCTGCACATTCGGCGGCAACTCGCCCACCTTTTGCTCCCACTTCTTGCCTGACGCCTCTTCAACAACCACCTTGCTGCGTCTTACATCCCACGTCAACTTCCACCCTGTGCGTCTAGTGGCCGCCGTCTTCTCGCCGCCGAATTCTTCACGGAGTCGCTGAACCAGCTTGGGCACCTCGACGCCCATCAGCGCGTTGTTGATGGAGTTCCTGCTAAAGATGTTGCCGAAACTGCCGCTGACCACCAGCGGAATCTGCTTTGCTAGGATGGCGGTCGCCGCTTGTTCACGCGAGGAACCGCAGCCAAAGTTGAAGCCTGTCACGAGAATGTCGCCGGCGCGCGCGATGGAGCCAAAGGACGCATCGTAGTTCTCCATGCAGACTTCGGCCATCTTGGCGGGGGTGATGTTGTCCTGGTAGGTGTATTTGCCGGGGTAGATGCCGTCCGTGTTGATGTTGTCGGCGTCGCAGAAGATGATTTCGCCAGAAATGGCTTCGGGGAAGCCGGGGAGGATTTCCGTGAGGGATTCTTCCTCCGACGAAGAAGAAGAAGAGGTAGATTCGGGGGTAAGACCTGCCTCGGCGTTGGCGATGAGCGACTCGGCCTCGGCAATGATCTTGTCGAGAGCGTCTTCAATGGACATGGCCTTGTCTTGCTCAACGACACCGTTGCCTTCGCCGATGATCACCTTCTCGACACCCTCGGGCTTTTGGTACCAGCCGGGACCGGCGATCTTGCCCTTCAGAGCAGAAGCGGCGACGACTTCGGGCGAGGCGAGGTAGGCCTTGGCGTCGGTGGAACCCATGCGGCCCTTGAAGTTGCGGTTGGAAGCAGAGATGCCGATCTCACCGGGCTCCAACAGACCGGTGCCCAGACCGATGCAGGGACCGCAGCCGGAAGGCAAAGGCTCGGCGCCAGCGTCGAGAAGGACTTGCCAGTCGCCCGAGTCTTCGGCTTGCTTTTGCTCGAGGAGGGAGGCGGCGGCAATGTAGAACTTGACGCCGGGAGCAACCTTGGGGATGACGCCGTTGTTGTCGGCGGCGGCGTCCTTGAACACGCGGGCTGCGGCGGCGATGTCGGAGGCGCGCGAGTTGGTGCACGAGACGAGGTAGGCCTTGTCGAGCTTGAGGTTCTGGGCCTCGAGGTCCTTGAGGGGAGTAGCGATCTTGACGGAGTTGGGGCCGGCGACGAAGGGGGAGAGAGTGGACAGGTTGAGGTAGAGCTGTTTGGCGTAGGTGGCGCCGGGGTCGGCGACCAGAGGGTTCTCGAGGAGGGCGTCAATCTTGGCGTGGGTGAGCTTGGCCTTGTCGCCCAGCTCGGGGTGTTCCATGGCGGTGACGGTGGCCTTGGCGCGCATCCAGGAGGCCAGGACGGCGTCGATGGGGAAGAGACCGGAGAGGGCGCCCCATTCGGTGGTCATGTTGGCGATGGTCAGGCGGTCGTCGACAGGGATGGAGCGCATGGTTTCTTCAGCACCGGTGAACTCGATGGCGTGGTTCAGCACGTCGTCGTTGTTGAAGAGGCCGCACAAAGCGACGATCACGTCCTTACCCGTGACACCGGGCGGGAGCAGACCGGTGAAGGTGACCTTGGCGATGGGCGGGATCTGCCACCATGTCTTGCCCGTGGCCCAGATGGAGGCCGCGTCGGTACGCACCATGGGTGTGCCCAGGCAGCCGACGCCGCCGTACATGTTGCTGTGCGAGTCGGAGGCGACAGTAACGGTGCCCGGCCACGCGTAGCCCTCTTCGACCATGATCTGGTGGCCGATGCCCCGGCCGGCAGGGTAGAAGTCGACGCCGTGCGTGTTGGCGAACTCCTCGATCTGGCGGTACTTCTTGAGGTTGGATTCGCTCTTGTTCTGCACGTCGTGGTCGAGGGTCATGACGACCTGGCGGTTGTCGTGGATCTTGGAGGCGCCGATGGACATGAACTTCATGGCAACGGGCCACGAGTTGTCGTGCGTCATGCAGTGGTGAGGCTGGAGGGTGACATAGTCGCCGGACTTGACCTTCTTGCCGGGAGCGAGGCCGACCGAGTAGCGCTGGACAATCTTCTCGGTCAAGGTCTGGGGCACCTGGGGGACGACCTTGGGGAGGGTCGAGGAGGCCAGGTTCTCGAGCTGCGAGGGGAAGGCATCTTGAAGACGGCGCGAGGTGGTGCTGTAGTAGGAACCGGAGGCGGCGGCGGCGCGGACACTGCGGACAGAGGTGGTTCTCGAGGCGGCAGCAAGGAATTGACGGGGGGCTCTGCTGGCAGCCACGGCCAGGGCTCTTCTCTGGAAGCGGGTAAGGTGAAGTCTCTTGTTAGTCACGATGCCAATGGCAATGTCAATGGCAATTGGAGAGTAAATAGGAATGTAAACATACCACGGGGTGAATCATGATGGACCAGCTATCACGACTTGCAACTGACCATGGCACTGCCGGACAGACTGGAATTGCAATTGGGTGTTTGAAAATAGATGTAACCCCAAGAGGAGCCGACGACAGATTGGAAATCGAGTCACAACGACTCGTTCAGCGACTGGGGATGGGCCGGCAGTCACAGTCAGGAGTGGAGTCCGGGGATGCCATGGATAATGGCCCGGCCGGGGGAGGGTGGCGATCCCGGCATTGAAAATATTTTGTGGGGGGCTCCGGCACCGGCCGTCTTGACACCCGTCGTTGCGCACGTCAGGCACCGACGTCTACATTAAGCCGGGGAGGTACGTACATAGTGCCACCGTCACATTTTGGGGGGGTGGTGGTTCGGGATTGAATCAAGGCGAAGAGGAAGTGACAGGATTCTAGTACAGCCCAGTACACTAAAACCTTAGAGGGCGCTTATCTTATCTCCACACTCACCTTGTATGGATCGATGTTAACTCCGCGAGGAATCCGAAAAGAATCGGCGTTCCCGCGGGGCGGTCATCGTATTCTTATCCGCTGTCAGGTGCCAAGTACTAACTTTGTTCAGAATAACCTCAAACACCAGCGCCATCGTCTGACATGTGTTTGTTTTTGAAGTTTTCTGAGCTGTTCGAGGAGCCTATGTACATAGTAGTACACGTCCCTAAGTAAACTTACACGTAACCTTGAAAACACCTCATCTCATGCCGACCAAAACAAGAAAAAGGTCACAGTACATCCATCACACGTACATATATGTACGGCGTGTGACGCACCAACCTGTACGCGGATAAGTACCCAAGTAGGTACACAGTAGATGACCAAAAGTGCCCCGGCCCAGGGCGGTGGTAATTTTCGATTCCAAGGTTTCTTTCCAGTTTAACCCCAGGGACCGACCCTTCAGGGCTGAACTTGGTCCCCTTTTCGTGGTTAGTAATGCAAAAAAAAGCACGAGCCACCTGCCACAAATTGATCCCAGATCGGTTGACTGCACAAATCGAGACTGGACGTGCAGTCAAAGCGCTGCTCGGCGCCGGAAAGTCCAGCACCCGACTGCCGATGCACGGGACCTCACTGGAGCTTCCAATATTGTTCCATCAAGTCCAATGACGGACCATATGCACACTACGCAGCACATCGTTTAGGTTTGCTGAACTGGCTGCCAAAAGATCCAATGGTGCCGTGATGCCGACTTTTTCTCCGTTTTATTTATTCTCCAATGGCTGATTAGCGCTGCCATGAGCGTCCAATACCACGTTCCGCCAGTTCAAGTTGGCAAACTCAGCGGGAGGAGAAGTGTGTTCAGTTTGGAGCCGCTTTTCAGCCTCTTACACCCGACTATTCATTTTTTTCCATTGTGTCCACTCTGATGCTCGGTTTCGCTTTTTTACCGAAGCCCAGACTGCCCTGACGCCAAGATGCCAAGACGAGCCCCTACCCACCACTACCATTGCTGTGGTCACTGGTCAGTGGTCACTGGTGAATAACAAGGGGACGGAGGCGGCGGTACAGGTACCGGATGGTCCCTCATCGATGGGTGACGGAATGCGGGAGTTCCATTTCCATTCATCGATGTCAGGCACCTCCAACTTCCAGGCCAAGAAGTCGGCGCCGTATTCTCTTGAGGTTGTTTCTGCTGCCTGTCGGTCTGACTGAACAGCACCAGACACAACACAGTCAGCATTGAAGCTTCCCTTCACATTCTCGACAGGTTTCTTCCAAATCAGGATCCGTGTGGGAGTGGGAGTCACAGAATTGGAGAAGCTGAAGAACGAAGAGAAAAGAGTGAGAGTCAACCGCCGGCGCAGTAAGTGGAAGGTAATGTACCATTGGTACCCATTGTCCTAAAAGGCAGGCACCAATCCAGGCCGACAAATCATCGGAGACTTTCCCGACCATCGAGGTACTCGCGGCCTTTCACATTCTTTTCCTTTCCACTTCATTTCAATTCACTTTTACACTCTCAGTCTGACTCTCAACGCTAACTCAAGTATTTCTCATCTTGGCTCAGCCTCTTTGTTACACTATCATCAAGTACATACTGGACTGGGAATATGTTTGTTTGCGTTTCTTGGACCTGATACTATCCCCACCACCCACCACCACATAGTTTCTCTTCTCGCTTCGGATCTGACCTCACCCGTTGGACTCTCTTTGCTCTCTTACCGGGGTACATCTCCCATAGAGATGCTCGCACCATCTCTACTGCCAAACTATCGCGGCATCATCACCACCGGCACTCACCGACCCGGCAGCAGTCATGGACCCTTACCAAGACGTGCCCATGGCCCTTCGGCCCTCTGTCTCGGGGACGGATCCAGGGGTTCCAATGGCTTCTTCAGGGGCTGATGTATCCGCCCAATCAGCCCCTCCTCCACAACCAGCTCCAGTGTCTACAGCAGCTCAACCTCCGTCTCAGACTCAACAACCTCAAGTCTCAACGCCATCTCAGCCTTCATGGGGCCAAACGCCAGGCTCAGGAGAATCCCAATGGGACCAGTCTCCAGCCCAATTGGAGTCTCCATGGGATCAAGCCCCAAGTCAGCCTCCCTCTCATGATCAACCTCAGAATAGTCAACCTCAGCAACAACTGCGCCAAGCCAAGTCGCCCCGTATTCTCGCTTGCCAGCTATGTCAAGGAAGAAAGATCAGGTGCAATCGAGTGTTCCCCTGCGACAATTGCAAGAGGGTTGGCTGTCCCACATCACTCGACCATCTTGCCGAAGCATGCTAACCTTACCTCGCAGTCCAATGTTCCATGCATACCCAGTAAACCGGCCCCGCTCAGGAAACGTCGGCCACCACACCAAGCGCTCCAGGAAAAGTTGGCTGCCGTGACGGAGAAGATGGAGCAAATGAGGCGTGAAATGGATGCTGCGAAAGCGAGTGGCCAGGGTCTGGCTATTCCCGCCACACCCGCACCCACCACTTCTTCTTGGGATTCCAAGGGAAACCCGAGACTGATCCAGGAGGAGGGCGGTGTTCGTTTCATGGACTCCCTGTTGGGCACCATGTACCAAGAGGTATGTCGTCATCTCTGCGTTTAGGTGTCTTCCGGCTTACCAACATTTGTACAGCTAGGGGAAATAAGAGCCATGGTGGACACTTCGCCAGACGATGGCTCAGATCTGATTCTCGGGGCCGACACTCCGACCTTTGATCCCATGTCTTCCTGGCCTCAGCCCGGTGCTGTTTGGCAGCTCTGTGACATTTTCTTCCAGAGAGTCAACCCCTTGATGAAGATCATCCACAGGCCGACACTGGAGAGATATGTCGCGGAAGCTTCTAGTGGACCGTTCGGGCTTCGTCCCAACATACGAGCCTTGTTCTTCTCCATCTTTCTAATGGCAATCGTGTCTTTGGATGCAGACGAGTGTGCGCAGCGGCTGGGCTACCACAGAGAGCAGGCTCTTCAGGATTTTGCTCAAGGTGCTCGTTTGACATTTGTACGAATGGGCTTCCTCAGCACGAACGACCTGACTACTCTCCAGGCATTTACTCTTTACTTGGTATTTCATCCCTCGAGACGCTGTTCATCGATTTTGGTGTCGCAATGCTGACGATTACAGACATCGCTCCAAGGCCGATCCAATCCTCACGCCACTTGGGTTTTGATTGGCACTGCTATACGCCTGGCTCGAAAGTTAGGTCTTCACGTCGATGGCAAACGATTAGGGTTGCCACCTCTCGAAACCGAGATGAGAAGACGGCTTTGGTGGCAGCTTGTTGTGCTCGACGCCAAAACCGCAACAATATCCGGCTTCAAGTCTGCGGCGGTTGTGCGAGACTGGTCCACCGAACTCCCCAGAAACCTTGAAGACACCGACATGCATCCCGACGCCAAAGAAGACTTTGTAGAACGCGACGGTCCCACCGAGATGATCTTCTGCCTCATGTCCTATAAAGCCACCGATTTCCTCCTCACCAGCGGGCAGGATTTTGAAGGTGTCATGATCGCGGCCGACCTCCCAGGCGGCCAAGCTCCTGGTTCCGACGACCAACGTCACCGCCGCACCGTCGAACAACTAGCGCTCGAGTTGTCAGCGTTTACGGACCGCTACCACTTGCACCCCGCCAACGGCCCGGTGCATGCCCTGGCCTTCAAGTTCAAGGAATTTTTCATCAAGAAGCTCTGCAGTGCCAAACCTCAACCCCCTCCCACTTCTGATCAACAAGGCTTCAACGATGTCGACCGCGCTTTCAGGCTAGCCATCATCGACCTCGAACACCACGAACTCAATATGCTCAACGACGACCCCGCCTTCTTCTGGTTTTCGCGCGTGTACTTCCAGCCATTCAACTTTATGTATGTCGTTTCGCAGCTGTGCCAATTCCAGTCCCCGTCCGCCAGTGATAAGCACATGGAGACAGCAAGCGCCAAGACCGACTTAATCGATCGCGCCTGGCGGCAAATTTCCTTCGTTTATCGGCTCAATCCCGACCTATTCGACACGTCAAACCGGTTGTACTCACAAATCGCTCGCAAAGTCCTTGAAGCTTGGCAGAAAAGGTCCGAAACGCTGCTTAGGCAGACGGGGACACGGCCACCTGCTCCGCCCTACGTCGAAAAGCTTGCGAATGTCCTGGGTAACAATAACATGAACAGCGGCTCTCTGGGAGCAACACGAACAGACACAGGGACAATACCAACGGCCACGACATTGGCCCAAACGGCAGGAACTGGGCTTGCCGGTGGTAATGACACGTCGTCGCTCATGCCCGGGCCTTCTGTTGTTACAGGTCCGGGTGCTGCTTCTGTCCCCACTACGCATGCACTGGGCCAAGGGCAAACGCAAGAACCGCCGCCATTCATGGAAGGTGTCGTCAACTATATGGACCCAAACATGGCCTTTTCTGGAAACATGTGGGGAGATGATGGGTTTGGCGATCAATTTCAGCAGCCTCAGATGCCGATGATGGACATGATGGAGGATCCAACGACTGGTATGATGTACAGCGGTCCGCCTTATTATTATCCGGATACGGAAGGAGACGGGGAGCCGTCTAGGGGAATGTGGTAATGCGGTGGGGTGGTGGTGAGGTGATAGCCATTGAGCCTCTACCCATCGTCGGTCGGCCTTTCGCCGTGTGTACGAATGTCGGAGCCAGGTTGTACGGCACGGTTCTCCATCAGCGTTGGAACATGATACCCTGGATTCCTCTTTCCTTTTTGTTCGCTTTAGTTTTAGCATCGCATCGCCCCTCAGCTTATTTGTGGTCTTTACCGGGGGACATCTTTTGGGGCCGGAGTTGTAGGGTATATGTAAAGATAATTATGTCCACTCACTCCGTGTACCTCTTTGTTATAGGTAGTCTTGGAAATACATAGATCAAACAAGTATCTAGATGGATAAAACGGCGTAATATGTACTCTGCCGTGACCTTATCTGCGGTGACGCCGTAGGTGACAAAAGAGTACAAATGCTAATACATCGGCTTCCTAATGTCATAGTAATCACTAACATACCTTCAGGTGTCTCTTTCAGCCCAGAGAAGTAAAATGCCAATTGACTTGTACACAATTTTGTTTGTTAACTTCTCTTCTCTCTAGTATTGGCTCCCAACTTGACGGGATGAACCGAACGGGGGCTTAGGGTTCACAAGTGTTTACTGCACGGCCTACCCAGAATTCCGGGTCGGTGCTGCAGTCTTTTTGGCAGCGCCACATGAGCGCTTTGAACCGCTGCCGGGAAAAATGTCGCTCACACTAACTTGGTTTGCATGTTCTAGACGCAGAAACTGTTGGTGCAAGTACTCGGTGCTATGGTACGTCCCGCACCTCCCGCCCTTTTGGTGTTTGGCCTTGCGTCATCCTCAATTTCCCAACTCCAAGTTCTTATAACCATTCGCACTTCTCACCTATTGTCTAAGCGATTCGATTCTCATGACGGTGCGTTATGATTGATGAACAGGACTCCTTGGGAAAGCCTCTGGACACGAGACGTGACACGAGTTCGTCTACAGCCAGCCGTATCAGCACCGAACCGGTCAATTTGGCCTTCACAATACGAGAGACGAAAGATTCCAGCACATTCATAATTTTGCCTCTATTCGACGCCGAAAGCTCTATCGCAACTCTAAAAAAGTGGGTATCGTGTACTTAATCATCCCTCACTCTCCCTAAAACTTGGCCAGCTTCTTGAGCTCGCTCACATACCACGTCTAGAAATAAACCAAGTCAGCATGACATACTCGGAAACATAATGAAGCAAAAGGGGTTAGAACGTGACGTACAACTTCAGCACCAGCACCAACAATGGATTTCATGCCCAACTTCTCAACGATCCAGTGCGGCTCAGCCCTCTTCTTGTCGAACAAGCGGGCATCCGCATCCGGCACCTCCGGGTTGAGGATCAAGTTGGCGGGAAGCGAAGGGTTGATGATGGCCGGGCGTCCGATACCGATCATGTCGCAATCATCGGCTTCCAAAGCGGCCTCCATGCCCTGACGAGTGCGGAAGCCACCGGTGACCATGAGAGGAAGCTTGGGGAACTTGGTGCGGATGATCTTGGCGAACTCGAGGAAGAAGGCCTCGCGGGCCTTGGTGCGTTCGGACTTTTCGGGCTTGGGGCCGTTGGCCATCTGCATGGCGTTAGCATTTGTTCCGTGCCCCTTTTGTTCACGACAGACAACCCCTTGCCCCATCCCTCAAACACCAAACTTACCTGAGGATCCTCATAACTGCCACCGCTAACCTCCACAAAGTCGATCCCCCACTGCTCGAAAAGCTCAATCTGCTTCAACACCTCCTCCGCCGTATCCGTCTCCTCCTCCTTTCCATCGCGTCCCGCCTGCCAATCCGCACTGTTCAACTTGATTCCCACCACAAACTTCTTCGCCTCCTCTTCACCCACAGCCTCAGCCACCTGCCTCCTGCACTCCTTGATAATCTCCCCGACAATCCTCGCCCTGTTCTCAGCCGACCCACCATACTCATCCCCGCGCCTGTTCGTCTTCTTGCTCAGGAACTGCGCCAAAAGGTATCCATGCGCCGCATGGATCTCCACGCCATTGAACCCGGCCTCGGCCGTGATCCTCGCAGTCACCGCAAACTTTTGCACGATATCCTTGATCTCAGCAACCGTCAACTCCCGCGGCGTGCCGAAGAGCACTTTCGACAACAAGCGAGGCACGAATCCCTCTCCCAACACCAACGGCACCGGCGAGGGCGCCACCGCCTTCTCCAACAGTCCCCTCGTGCCCGCGCCCATCGGACTCTGGCGACCAGGGTGGTTGATCTGCACGACCACAGGCGTCTTGGACTGTCCGTTCAGGCGCGCAGCGTCCGCCCAGGCCTTGAAGGCCGTAACGGTCTGCTCGGGCGTGGTGCCGGGGTGGTTGGGGCTGATGTCGTGGGCGTCGCCCTTGTGCGCGTGGTCGACTTGGACATTGCCGGTGAGGATCAGGCCCCAGTCGCCGCGGGCCCAGGTGGCGTAGACGGCGGAGAGTTCGGGGTTGGGGAGGTGGTTGCCGAAGCCCATTTGTTCGGCCATGGCGGCTTTGACGAGGCGGTTGGGGAGGGTGAGGCCATTGGGGAGGGTGAGGGGTTGGGCGAGTTTGAGGTCGGAGGTGGAGGAAGCCATTTTGGTGGTGGTGTTTTGGGATCTTGGTGATCCTTTACTGCGTCTAAATCTTGGGTTGGTGTTTTGGGTATGATAGGTGAGGTTTTAACGGTGTGGAATTTGGTAAGAAAAATTGATGGTATGTTGGACTTGACTGGAGAAGAATAAATGGAGGACTCAAAATGAGGGCTCCTTTATTCACATGAAAACTGTTTTCCATCTGTTTTATATCATTCCTGACATGGACTACCTACCTCTACTCATGGTACCTACTATTGATGATTACCTACCTACCTACCTCAATGTACCGAGGAAGTAGATGGATACCCTTGTCCAACGCTTATTAATGTGCTTTTCCTGGCAGATTCCCAGTTTCCACCCCTTACACTACTACCGAACTGAATTGAATTGAAAGCTGGATCCACTCCACCGAAACTTCAACCAACTCCGGAGATAGCGGGTAAAAATCCTTTTTTTCAGTCATTCGGTCGGTCGGTAGGTCGGTCGACCGGCCGCCGCCCGTGCCGTGCTTGACTTGACTCGGTTGAGTTTAGTTTGGGGAGTTTTGGGGAGTTTGGGGGGAGTTTGGGGGGAAGTGACGAGCATGGGTCAAGCCTGGAAGATGCTGTTCCCACACTCAAACACCTGTACAGTCTTGGCGGATGTGTGCGAATGCACACATACACGACTTTTTGGCAAAACGGACCATCGATGAGATTTCATTTGCTTATATCTCTACTAAACGAAGAGATGAAAGAAAACGGACTCAAGATATAGAATCAGCGTACTTAAGACTATTAAAATAACAGTCTTTTCTATAGGATAATTGAATTTCTTCATCTTCGTCTTTCGTTTCGATGGTCCGTTTTGCCAAAAAGTCGTGTGTGTGTGCATTCGCACACATCCGCCAAGACTGCACAGGTGTTTGAGTGTGGGAATGGAAGTCTGGAACACACTACACACACCATACCATACCGTATATCTCCTACACTAGTGTAGAAGCGTAACGCCGTAGCGCGCAACTCTTGCGATCGTGAAAATAATTTTCAAGAATTGCAATTTCTGAGGTAGTGTACAGTACCTTTGTCCAAAAAAGCCGAGGTACGACTACGCTACATACCTCTATATCAAAGAGGCAATGTCATGGAATTTCATTTTTTTTTTTTTTTTTTTTCCCCACCACTACAGTACTGTGAACATGTTACATACCCCTGTCGATGATCTCCCGCCAGCGAGTCGGCGAGACGGCGACCGGGCTAACAAAGCTGTCTGACCCATTAAATCAAAGGTGAAAAAAAAGTCTCCGGTGCAATCAGAAGCGATGGTTAATTTCGTGTTTGGGCAGTAGGTGGTACGTTATCTATCGTACAACGCTTATCAATGCAATTGGTTACCTAGGTACAGTCCTGGGATCTGGATCTTATGATACGAACCTCGTTTGGTCAATTTGGGTTCATGTAAGTTTTGGGTCGTGTAGTGTAAGCGAGCGAGGGTGGGTTTCCTGAACGTAAGTACTTTCGTGTCTTCAAAGTAGATACATACCTCTCTCTATGTATCAGATTGTTCATGTATCTTATCTTTCTCTTCATTGAAGTCAAGGCTCGTACGACAAAGAATGAACGCTCCTTTTACAAGGCTGCGTGATGATGCCATGATAGTACCAAATTAGGTAGGTAGGCAGGCTCGGTAGGATCTGGATTACCAACCAGCGTGGGATCATGATTCAGGGGTTTTGTTTACAAATGCGTTTGGACCCTGTCATCTCGTGGGAGGGTAGGTAGTAAGCATGTGAACAAGATAAGGGTGATAATTGTAAGGCTGCAGGCAGTGTGATGGGTTTGGGTTTCGTAGTTTCGCAATATCGATGAAGACCATCGTCGGAAAGTCAAACGTCATCAGAAGAAAGAAAGAAAGTGGTAGAAACAAAAGTTGGCAACTCAGTTAGCATGTTTCACTAGACGAAGAACAAAAGCCACATGGAAACAGCCGAGTAAGGATAAGAAAAAAATATAAAAGAAATGAAGGGTCAGAAGAACAAGAATGAGACATGGTTTTGCAAAGAACAGAAGACCCGAAAAGCCAAAAGGGGAAAGCATGCACTAGAAAGAGAGAGAAAGAGAAGAAAAATTCGAAAAAAAAGAATGGGGCCACCCGGGGATTGAACCCGGGACCTCTCGCAAGAATGCTCAGGATTGAACCCTAAGCGAGAATCATACCACTAGACCAGCGGCCCGTATCAATTGTTGATTGGCAGCTGCTGAGTATAAACCTATAATCCTCAGCTGGAAATGACCAGCGTGGGGCGGTGGGTGGTCATGGTGACGGCGGTATACCGGCGGTAGTCATTGCGAGCTAGGTAGTCGATTCCACTGGATGGATACTATAGATTAGTATCACAATAATGCATCTGACTTTTCATTAGGTATCCTAGGTAAGAATCGTATCTGGACTGGCTATCTAAAATCGTGAAGAAATTGCTCAGCGAGAATAGGTACCTCTAGGGAGGTTGTGGTACGGGGATGTTCGTGCACCGCACTCAGTCTGTTGGTTTAACATGGTGCCAGAGTTGGTCGGTGCGGTTGACGCGCATGGGTGTCACTCCTTAATACCTTTACCTAGAGTAGGTACCTTTCTCTGGCACCATCTACCAGAACCAACAATAACCATCCTTCCAGATATACCTACCTTGCTTTCCTGCGAGGATTCAAGTCATGCGCATAGTGAAGCTCATCACTTTGGAAAGAACATAAAATGTACCTATGTCATCGTGTCTCCTCTCAAGCTACCTAGGTAGCATTGAGCTAGGATAGGTACCCAAGGTTCCTCCCCATCGTCCTAAGGTTTTACGTCTTGTCTTGTCTCCTATATTGGAGCTCCTTCCTTGTCTTGCTTGCATGCTCTGTTGACACCTTGCTTAATTCGAACACATCAACAAATGAACAAATAAAACACAGCTACGTAGGTACAGATCTTACAAAAATTCCATTCTGCCTTCCTCTTTTTACAGTGCATTCTTCCCCCTTCTTCTCTAGAGGTAACTAAAACCCCAATGCTGATCTCGCAGCCACCCACCAAACTGGCCTCATTGCCACAAACTCATCCCATCCATCCCATTCAAACCCATCCTACCCATCATCCCCTGCTGATATGCGTCATCAAGGTTCAAGCTAGGATAAATTCCCAATCCCCCCTCCTGCTGCATCCCCTTCTGCGTCTGCTGCTGCTGTATGCTCGCTGCTGTCCCATTGTTGATGATGTGAAAATCGTCGTACCCGTGATGGCCCAGCGGCAATTCAGTACAACTGAAACCAGGGGCAGTCGCTTCTGGTGCCGCCGAGAACTGGTGCAAATCAAAGTACTCATACTCATACTCGTCGTACTCATGCGTAGAGGTAGTCAATGACGGGGTGCTCACCAACGAACTCGCGCCCGATGAGCTTGTTGGCGGGACGACGAGAAGGGTGTTGATGGAGGATG